AAAAAAAAAAAACACACACACATCATTGTAAAATCAATACATTCATCACTTCGTTCAGAACCTAAAATGCTAATAAATTGCTTAAAAAATAAAATATACTGTATAGTTAATAATGAACAAGAAAATACAGATAATGTATTTCCTATTTTTAAGTCTGATAGAGTATAGCAATTTATAGATAAATTCGTTGTAATATTAAAATTTACGATACAAAATTARTTCTTCTGATTACTGAATGCAAATTTGTGGTGTAGTAAATTTGTTTGACATATTATGCGGGTGTGGTGTCTTCAAAGTATATCACAGGAGTGACTGAAATGAATAGACAAACTATTTAAGTATAGCTTTTTATTAGCTAAGCCACCCTATATCCGCCTATGAATACAGTGGCGTAGCCAGAATCATGAAATGGGAGATTTTAAGTATAAATTAAACTAAATTTTTGACAGTTTTCATATATAAATAATATACAAATAATAGAAGCGTTAATTATTAGGGGGAACGACTATGGGATGGGTTTAAACACTTAAGCCCCCTAGCTACGCTACTGGCGTATGTATATATATACTACCACACTATATTATGATTGTAATAGGTAATGAATTCTAAAAAACATGCATTTATATTAGTATTATTTTATGTTTATTACAGTTGAAAATGTATTAGGCGAAGAAAATAAAGGCGTATACGTTTTAATGTCCGGACTAGACTTGGAAAGGATGGTGCTTTCTGGTGGGCCTGTTGGGTATGTATAGGCTGTTGAATTAAAATTTAAAATCAATAATATATCAATGATTAGATCATTAATAGTTATTATAAACTATTATTTAACAGTAGTTCTGTAATGAATCCTGTACCTTTATGTAAATTATTTATGTATTTTAATTTTTCTAATGTCAACATTTTAGATTAATGCAGGCGTGTATAGACCTGACATTTGATTACGTACATTCTAGAGAACAGTTTAATACTAAAATTGGAGAGTTTCAATTAATTCAGGTAAACTCTAATTAATGCTATGTATTAAAAAAAACCTAAACATATACTGCTTATTATAGATTGGTATGGTAT